ACAAGTTATGGTCCTTTACAGATACGTTTTTCAGAGATGCCAGTGCAGGGCCTGGCCGGGACGGCTAGTTCTTTAATAAATGTAAGGTGATGTTGGCGGCGGTCTTCACATTCTTTTGGTGAATGTTTGAATACCTTGTTTAGCCGACGTGTTGCCGTTGTTATACAGCGCTGATGACACGGTGTCATTCGCACTATTTTTGTCCGTCCGCAATTTTTTTTCTACAAAATTCTTTTCTATTCTATTTTTAAAAGTTTAAGCAATTAAAAATGGATTTAAAATTATGTCTATTTCCCGAGTTGCAATCCCCCGTAGTGTTATATAAGAATATTAGAGAAAGTTTAGGGTAGATTACTCCCGGTTTATTTTAAACATTATATCAGAAAAATTAAGACAAGAAAACAACTAGAAACAATATTAAGGTACTCTCCAAATTTGTCGTTTGAAAATGAACCAAAGCAGAAACAGAATTATTTTGTGCTTGTACTATTACAAATGTTATTACTACCATATCTCTATATCCATAGCACCCTTGTAGGGACCCCGAAATCATCATCAATTAAATAAGTTATGTGGCGTTATATTAGCCTAAACTTAGGAGTGTTTTCTAGACTAAAAGTCTTAAAGCCTAAAGCTAAATTAGAATTCGCTTAATGGTGAAGAGTTTTATAGCGATAATCGATATAATTCTACTTTAGGTTTTTTTTAAATTTACTAAATTAGAACCGATTGCTATTTTAAATATAAAAAATACAGGGGTGGATACCTTAAAGATTCCAGTGGTGCTCTTACAGCAGTCAGAGAAGTGTGTTTGGTTATGTGAGGGAATGTGTTTATGTGGGGGAGTGTGTTTATGTGGGAGGTGTTTGGTTATGTGGGGAGTGTGTTTATGTGAGGAAGTGTGTTTATGTGGGGAGTGTGTTTATGTGGGGGAGTGTGTTTGGTTATATGGGGGAGTGTGTTTGGTTGGGGGAGTGTGTTTGGTTATGTGGGGGGAGTGTGTTTATGTGGGGAGGGGATGTTTGGTTATGTGGAGAGTGTGTTTATTTGAGGGAGTGTGTTTATGTGGGGGAGTGTGTTGGGTTATGTGGGGGAGTGTGTTTGGTTAAATGGGGGAGTGTGTTTGATTACGTGGGGGAGTGTGTTTGGTTAAATGGGGGAGTGTGTTTATGTGGGGGAGTGTGTTTGGTTATGTGGGGGAGTGTGTTTGGTTATGTGGGGGAGTATGTTTATGTGGGGGAGTGTGTTTGGTTATATGGGGGAGTGTGTTTGGTTAAATGGGGGAGTGTGTTTGATTATGTGGGGGAGTGTATTTATGTGGGGGAGTGTGTTTGGTTATGTGGGGGAGTGTGTTTGGTTATGTGGGGGAGTATGTTTATGTGGGGGAGTGTGTTTGGTTATATCGGGGAGTGTGTTTGGTTATGTGGGGGAGTGTGTTTGGTTATGTGGGGGAGTGTGTTTGGTTATATTTGGGAGTGTGTTTGATTTTACAGTAGAGTGTGTTAGATATTTTAGAAGTGTGTTTGCTCTCTAGAGGTTGAGTTTCTTTTGTGGAGTAGTGTATTAGGATTAGTACGCTTACTACAGGGATGTGTTTGTTATAAGGAGTTGAGAGCTATATTTGCTTATGTGGGGGGGTGGTTCATATGGTTGGGAGAGTGTTTACTTATGTTGGGGAATGTGTAAGATATAGTCATGCCTATATGTTATCGAGCTGCTCTTCTATTGACTTGTTAAAATTTGTTTTTGTAACTGACTTACTTATTGTTAAATATAAATGTTGATTATTTCCATAGCTTTAAAAATGTGTTGCGCGCGATTAAAATGTAAAACTGTATTGCGCACCTTTTAGGTGTACACTGTTGCGCATTGACCTTGGACGAGTCGGCCTTCCTATCATCTTAAAGGCAACTGTTTACACCATCTCGCTTAATAAGTGACTTAAAATATCATATTTTTTAATATTGGTAAGTTTATTCCGACTGGTAAAAAAAAAACAAAGATTTTATTTGAAATAATTTAGTCGGTAGATCTATATTAAAAAATAATCTATTGTTTTAGTTACGTAAAAACAAACCTCTGCTAGATCCAGTAATGTGACAGGAAGGTGACTTACTAAATTTTAGTAGTTATTTCGCAGTTTTACGACGATTTATTTTTAATTTCTCGAATACAGAGTAGGCCTATAGAGAAAGTATTATGTTAGGTATTTAGTTAGGTAGAAGAAATGTCATCTATAAGTAAAGAATCTTGTACTTAGATTATTTTAAATTATTGAGTAAACTTCAATAACCGGTATTTTACACTAGTTCCGGTTTCTATATCGAGACTGCAATGAGAAGTGCCATCTCTCTTAATGATGTATAAAAATATACGATAAACTTCTTGGGGATATCAGACCCTCTTTATTTTAAACGAGCCGACCCGCGGCGTATCATACGCCGCTATTTAGTTGTTTTATTTTCTACTTTTCAGTAATTCATAATTTGTGAATTAGACAGTACCAATGCTGCCACTGAAAATATTTGCTTTTAAACACTAACCCCCACCCCCTTTCCCCTAACCCCCGACCCTACATCCCCCCCCCCTTGAAAGCAGCCTCCTCTTAGTTACCTCCTGTAAGTTTAAAATCGTTTCAAACTAAATTATCTGCCCCTAATAGCCGTCACTAAACCCGGCTCTACGATTTGTAAACATTTAGAGTGACCACAGCTCATCAGACCATGTGGGGGTGGGGTGGGGGTGGTGGTGATAGTGATAGAGAGAAAGAGAGGGGACTGCAAGGGTGCGCTTGCAGCTTGTTTTCTAGCGTCTCCCAGAAGAGAATTATGTATATAGATGTTTCAAAAATGTTTCTAATACCTTTGTTTAAACAATTGTACTTAACCTTAAGCTTTTCAATAATAACTTAAAAGATTAGCAATATTTTAATCAGATGCAACTAAGAGCATTAACTTAATACCCATCTGTTTAGAGTTCTTTTACTTGTCATAAATTATAGTTATAATATTTCAGATGGCATCTGTTTATATTGCAAATCTTTCTCTCAAACACTACTGTTTCAATTTAATATCCGTCCTTTGTTGATATATTAAATCATTGTGTTTGGTTTGTTATTTAAATATCTTTTGTATTTGATACAAATATAAAACAACACACTTATGTTTGATTAATTACAGTAATTAATTACAGTTTAATATGAGAACACTCAAGTTGACAATGTCTTTAAAAGCAAAATAATTACATTAGACTAGGGGGTCATGCATAAATGACGTCATACTCGAGGGGGAAAAAGGGTCCGGAATTTGGTGAGTGTGTGTGATGATGTGGAGGGTTGGGGGGGGGGGGGGGTTCAGATGGTGGGACTTTACACTTTTTGCATTATTAAAAAAAGCAATATTAGAAAACGAATTTTAGCCGTTATTTTTCGAATTTTAGCAAACTGTTTTAATAAATTGTAGTAGGAATAGTTTAAAACACTCTATGTTGAAAGTTTTCAGTCAAGATTTTGGAAGAATATTGATGTTTTAAGAAAAAAAAAACTGCAATTTTGAGGGAGGGGGGTGGTTGTATGTTGAGGTGTGACGTCATTTTAGTGGGTGGGTTCTGGATTTATGTGACGATGTGTGACGGAGGGGAGGGGGAGGTAAAATCGTCAAAAACAGCGAGACTTCATTTATGGATAACTACATAATAAAGTAAATCATATTGTTGACATAGCTAACAGAATACAGAAACATTGAAATGGATGTCAGCTGGCGATGGCAACTACCTATATTGTTAATAGTTATCTGCGCCATCCTAGGTAAGAAAAATGTTAACCGTTGTCTTAACGAAATATACTTTTTGATACCAAAATTACTAAATTAATTCTATCGCAACCTCTCTCTCCCTCTCTCTCTCTCTCTCTCTCTCTCTCTCTCTCTCTATATATATATATATATATATATATATATTTATATATATATATATGTGCGTGTGTGGTTGTATATATATATATATATATATATATATATATATATATATATATATATATATATATATATATATATATATATATATATATATATATAAATCTGTATATATATATATATATGTACATCCATATATATATATATATATATATATATATTCCTATAGGCCGATAAATATATATATAATACATATGTGTTACATTCGCTGTTTTCAGGCTGCGAAACGTCTGAAGCCCAATGCCAGAATAATTCCCGCGTTGGTAACGATTCCATCTTTACACAAGACACGATTGCCAAGGGTTCACTCAGCAACGAGGTTAGCAAATACGGTATGAACGCTCTGGGCTGTTTCCTTCATGACGTCAGTTACACTGGACACGATGAGAGGTCTAGTGTGGGCGAGATGGAATTTACCAACAACTTCAATACGTGCCCGGCTAACGAAACTGTGGGGAACTTGCCGTGTGATGACATTATTAGTGGTAAGTCATCTAGCAAAACGTGGGGACATAGTGTTTTAATAACATGAGTAACGGAAGTCAACTAGCTCCAGTAATAACACCTCTAATAATATACGGACTAATGCTACGTACCGTATTTTTTTCTCGAACATCAACAAAGAAGGATAATAAATTCATCCATAAAATGAAAAATAAAAAACGGCAAAATTAAACGTCAAAACAACGTAAAAATTGTACATAATTATGTACAAAATATGCATGATAACTCAAAATAAATTAATAATTAAATAGTTGCTTAAGTCATGGATGTTTTAGAACATAATCACATTGATTCACATTCTTTAAAAATATACATAGAACCGTTATGTCTATAATATAAATCAAATGTCATTAGAGTGAATTTTTTTTATTTTTAAAAAAGCACTGAAGATCTTTTCATTCAAACGGTTTGATGAAGATCAGAGAACAGAACAGGAGCATGTTCCGTACTAGCCTCAAAGCGTTTGTTCTCTGATCCCCATTAGCCCTGCAGTTCCCTACTAGCCTTACTGTGTTTGATCTACAGGCAGCACTGGCAAGACAATAATAGAGCAGGACCTCGGCTTCACATTTCAGCTTGACGTCTTAGGCGTCTGCTTCAATGTCACTGTCATCGAGGTCAACGGAGAAAAGATCGACTACATCGAGATGTTCGAGAAGTTGAATGTAAGAGTGTAGGTGTAGGTGTTGGTGTTGGTGTAGGTGTAGGTGTAGGTGTAGGTGTAGGTGTAGGTGTAGGTGTAGGTGTAGGTGTAGGTGTAGGTGTGGGTGTGGGTGTGGGTGTGGGTGTGGGTGTGGGTGTGGGTGTGGGTGTGGGTGTGGGTGTGGGTGTGGGTGTGGGTGTGGGTGTGTGTGTGTGTGTAGGTGTAGGTGTAGGTGTGGGTGTGGGTGTGGGTGTAGGTGTGGGTGTGGGTGTGGGTGTGGGTGTGTATGTGTGTGTAGGTGTAGGTGTAGGTGTAGGTGTAGGTGTAGGTGTAGGTGTAGGTGTGGGTGTGGGTGTAGGTGTAGATGTTTTGGTGTAGGTGTTGGTGTCACAGGTTAATTTAGTCTGTCTGCTCTAAAAAATGCCTCGGTTTTATTTTTTTGTTTCTTCTTCTTCTCCGTTCTTAATTTGATCCTAATATTCGCCACATTATTTACATTTAAGTGGTCGGCGTGGTCAAGTCGGTAAAGCTCATGGTTGCTAAACCGAAAAGTCTCGAGTTCGAACCCTCGGGCAGATGAGGCTCGTTAGCTGGGGACAGCCACTCTTCTAGGAGAGACAACTCCGAAATTAAACAACTGCTGCCTTGTAGTTTGTTCTTGGTTCGACAAAGGCTATGGAAGCAAATCCAAAAAGAAAAGCAGGCTGAAATCGGAGTCAATTGCCTCAATGGCGCATAACGAGTTGATACGTAACGCTTAATTGTGTTGAAGGCGTGGTCGAGTCGGCAAAAAGCTCATGGTTGAGAAATTTGAACAAAGTCTTGAGTTCAAACCCACTGGCAGATAAATCTCAACCCCCTTCAACACTAATAATTAAGAACGAAGAAGAAGAAGAAGAAGAAGATTTACATTTATTTCTCATTATTGTGTGCAAATTTTACCTAATCCTAGCCCCTGTTACACTACTAGTAGAAGGAACTGCGAAATGCGATACAATATTCATGAGAGTGCAATTTAAAAATGGTATGGAATATAGATGATATTTTACTCGAATCTTTATACTTTTTTAACATCTGTCATTTTTCTTTCCGTCTCTAGCCTGTTTCTTTCCGCGAAGAATCGGCCAACGATAGCACACTGTACAAGACCGAGATCTCTGAAAGTGATGAGATGGAAGTCGACTTCCCTTCTAATTTTGTCGTTCACATTAGCGAAAACAAGTCTCGGATCTTGAACGTCACGGGGTTTACAAATACCGGAAAGTGCAGGGAGTTTGGTATCCCGCGTAAAGTGGGTTAGTGACCTTAGTCAGTTTGTTGTTGTGACCTTCACCTTTTCACACACACACATGCACACACACATGCACATGCACGCGCACACACACATGTACATGCACATGCACATGCAAATACACATGCACATGCACATGCATATGAACATGCACATACATGCACATGCACATGCACATGCACATGCACCTACACCTACACCTACACCTACACCTACACCTACACCTACACCTACACCTACACCTACACCTACACCTACACATACACATATAGTTAAAACAATAAACACTATTCGGGTTGCATAAATAAAATAGTGTTTCTACATCCGAATATGCCGTTAATTTTATTTTGCTTCTTTTTATAAAATTTAGTTTATACATTTAAAGCTTTTAAAAATATTTTTTTCAACAAAAGTCCGTATCAAGTTCTCCATATATCGCTGAAGATACTGATCTCATAGCCTGTAAAAATATTTTCGGACTGAGAGACAGAGAGAGAGAAGAAGAGAGAAGTGCGCACATGGGCTTTTATAAATTAGGATTGAATTTTTTAAAATGAAGACGACTTCTATTGTCATCGTAGTGTAACGTATCTGGAAAGTTTGAACGAAATCGCTGCATTCGAAGTGGATAGAAATTGAGTTAAAGTTTTGCCACTAGCCAACAAACAGTCAAACACAATTCTAACCGTCTATAGACCTAAAGCTCAGATTTCACTAACAGCAAGTTTTAATTTACTTACATGCTAATACAGGTGGCTTTTTTTTACAGCCGAAGTATTCCCTTTCAAAGAAAGTGAGATCCCTCGGCTAAGGGAAGCCTTACGGAAATACAAGTCTCGGTAAGTATAGTTTTAATCCAACGCGATTATTTTTTTTTCTTTTTGTATAAGAACTGCCGTTGACTTTTACTATATGCTTTCCCTTATTACTATTTTTAGGAGTGAAATGGCTCAGAATCTAATGAATGCTATGTTCTCAGGCGCTCTAGCGATTCTCGTGATGATTATCTGTCGGTTGAGTAAGTTATTTTATCACACATTCCACTCTTTATATTATAAAGATAGGAAAAAAAGTTTGGTAGTCCTCAAATGGTTAAAATGACATTTGTATTTTATTTCATCGTCCATAGTAAATGGGAGTAAGATTTGTAGGTTGTTTTTTTTTTCTTCTGATTTTGTGAATTGCATTTTTATTTTCAGAGTTTTTGACAATAAAGCTTCAGTTGATCAACCAGTACCTGGAAAATTACCTAGAGCGGCAGCAGAGACAGCGCATTGGCCGGTCATGCTGGAAACATCGCAACTCCATTTATGCATAATTTTGTTTACATCCTTGAAACATTTTCTAATTAAGCAACCACACTGCCTTTAAATCTTTTAATAGCTACTAAAATACAGAAGTTAAATTTATTTCATTCTTTTGCAAATGTAGTGTATACAATGTTTCTAAAAGTTGATTGATTTCTATCTTCTCTGCACCATCTGTAGTTTTCGGAATGTGATATGTATATTTTAATCAATGAATTGATTTTTATATCAATTATATCATTTAGATTTATGTTTTATAAAATTGTTATAGTCCCTGTTTTTATTAATCTAATGTCTATTGTTATTTAGTACTTCACGATTGTCATTTTGTAATGGAAAAAAATTGTGAATTCTTGAAAAGAAAGTATCTTCTTTTAAGGTGCTTCCACGCCTGTTATGACTATAGGCTATTGTGAAATTAGTTGCGCTTTAACACCAGGTAAGATCATTTGTCTACCAGGGATTTATCTACAAAATGTCGTTTGTGAAATTTTATTGCGCCTAAAGGGTTTGAGATAAAGGTGAAGGTCACTAAATTTGTGACTGTCTATACACTATTACTTGATATGTCTAGCTGTTTGGTCATTAAAACGTGTTGTAAAATTGTGTTTTGTTTATAGTGTCATTTTTCAAACTCCAATAAAACGATTTATTAAAATCTTTTAGGTGTTGATTATTTTGTAATAACAGTAAAGATTATAATCACACTAGCCGTTATAGGCTAGGCTTTGCTCCAGTCATTTGAAGCCATTTCTAAATTGAAATGGTAAGTGTAATATGTATATGAGATTGAATTGTAAAAATGTAAACAACATTGCATACAGCTACGCTCAAAACAAACATGTAGACTTTTTTTATTCTAAATTTTACTACCCACCACATGAATGATTTGTAACCTGGCTCGATAACCTTGCTCCTTACACAAACCAAGTACACATCAATGTCTGATCATTATTCAGAAAACTGCTTGTAACTTACTTGCACCCTCCTAGCAAATAACAATACCATGTGATACAATTAAAATAACTGAAATGAAAATATTGAAATGTTATTAAGTGAGAGTATACAGCTTTTTACAATGTCGTAGCAAACAATTTTCGTATAACAAAATATGAAAACAATAAGGAAAACCAAAACAGCACATTGCTATACTGCTCTATATCTAATAAAATAATTTGAGACACCAGTACAAATTAAGTGTTGAATTCAGAAACGCCAATATGGTGTAGGTTACGATTATGGTTGTCGTTGCGGTTGTGTTCATGTTCATGTCGATGCCGACGTCGGTTGTTTAGCTATGGCATTGGCTACATTGAAATAAAATAAAAAATTTTAATTTGAAATTATTCTAGATCTAGGGCCTATTCGCGTAAAAGAAGCTTCTTACGCAGACTAAAAGTAAAATATAACAGTAAAAAAATCATTATCCTACGAGCCTAGATAGCTAAGAAATTAACGTATTAGGTTACCAAATGTGTGACACGGGTTCGAGACACATCGTGTTGATTTTATTTTTTTTTTCAATTTTTATGTTGTTGTTTTTTTTTTCAATTTTTTTTACATGTGAATGATAAAGTTGCATATTGGAATTTGGCGGGATACAGGGCAGGTGAAGTAGAGTTCACCTTTTTCTGTATCCTCAGCAAATGAAGGGATAGTGTGGTCAGAGCCATCCTCGACCGGAATCGTTTTTTAAATGATAAAAACATGTTGTCTGAGACTTGGCGGGACACTGAGCAGGTGAAGTAGAGTTGGGTAGGTCACCTGTTACGTCAGCATATGAAGGGATAGTGTGGTCAGACCAATGCTCAGCCGAAATCGGTGTTTTTAAAAGACAAAAAACTTCTTTTTGAATGTATGGACGGGTTATTTTGTGATGATAAATGACAGACGTGATGTCATTTATGGATGATCCCCGAAACCCACAGTTATCTAACTAGATAACGGGTAGTCTAGTTATTATTTAAAAGCTTGTTATTAAAACGTTTTTTATTAGTTGTTTTTTTTAGTACTTCACTTTTTTTATTTACAATAGAGTTCCATGACTAAAAACCTTTGCGCACCCAATGAACGGGATAAGTAGTATAATAGTTCGGAATAGTTTGATGAGAATATTTCAGCCCGTTTAAATCTCATGAAATACTATGTTCTATTACCATATATAGATACGATATATGTCATTTAGAAATGTATTTGGCTAAATTATCATTTCAGAATACACCATTTTAGACTAAGAATTAGAGTAAATGACGTATTCTAGTTTGTAAGACTTAATATTTCAATGTATTCTGAATACTTTAGGCTGAAAAAATATTTTAGCCGTTGCGGCTAAATGCATGGTCTAGTCTTTTAGGTCAAACGCCTTATTTTAGTTCTTAAAGGATAATGTCATAACCTAATCAGGAATAAAGAATGTCTTATTATTTTATCTACAAAAACAGTGAGAATTTGTGATGCAGTAATCTACACACTCGAAATAGGAGACCCAATTACATGTAGCTGTCGGATATTTTGGCAGAGGGAAATATCATGGATTTTACAAAAAGTAAAAGGAGAAGAAACATCCCTCATCACGAATTGTCCCCACCCCTACAAAAATTGCCCGGTACAGTACTGTGAAGCTAAGCATAGATGTATACATTGCATTGGTTGTGGTTTAGCATTGTCTAAGGTAGGGTTTTATTTTATTCTGTTGGGTTGTGATGTGCCGGCAGGCAGCGGGGTGTTTATGAAAATTTTAACTTCTACCTAACCGATTGTTTTCAAACTTGACACGTAGAATAAGACCAGATAAGATAGCAATGTTTTTGACAATACGTTACATTTATTCTTTCACTTTTTGCAGTTAGTTAATTTAAACTTGTCCGATTAAGTATAGAACTTATAGAAAGCCATTATGAAAGTTAAACGTCATAAACTGAATAGTAAAGATGAAAACTCCCGCTAATGCTAAATTCACAGGAAGAGAAAAATAAATGAACATTTTTAATTTTTTCTAAACATTATGTCACAAAAATGAAGACAAGAAAACATCTAGAAAATTATTACGCCTTTCTCCATTCTAATTTTTCTTTTCAAAATGACGTAAAAGTAGCAACACAATTATTTTTTGATAGATAGGAAATACTGCCATCAATGTAAAACGTTTGCATGCACCGTTGAAAATATTATTACCATATCCATATATTTGTAGCAACCTTGTAGAAATCCCGAAATTACAATCAATGAAATAAGTCAAATGGCGTATATTAGCCTACACTTTAAAAAAATATTTGTCAGGATTAAGAATTTGTTACGTCATCCATTTTTTCATACATAAAAAAAACTGCATCCATTAATAAACAGTTTATCAATTCACAGATGCAACATACACATTATCTGATATGGCCTACTTATTGGGCAGGTCCTTGTTGTGTTTTTCAATTTTAAACATACATACAAACAAACTAGTTTAGTGGATTATGTCAGTGGATGGGGTCAATGGATTAGATCAGGAGATTGGGTTCATAGATAAGTTAAGGTGATTTATTAAATGGATTAGATCAACTGATTCGGTAATGGGTCGGCGTGGTCAAGTCGGTAAAGCTCATGGTTGCTAAACCGAAAAGTTCGAACCCTCGGGCAGATGAGGCTCGTTAGCTGGGGACAGCCACTCTTCTAGGAGAGACAACTCCAAAATTAAACAACTGCTGCCTTGTAGTTTGTTCTTGGTTGGACAAAGGCTATAGAAGCAAATCCAAAAAAAGCAGGCTGAAATCGTAGTCAATGGCCTCAACGGCGCATAACCAGTTGACACGTAACGCTTAATTGTTTTGGAGGCGGGATCGAGTTGGCAAAAAGCTCATGGTTGAGAAATTCGAACAAAATACTCGAGTTCAAACCCACTGGCAGATAAATCTCGATCCCCTTCAACACTAATAAATTAAGAACGAAGAAGAAGAAGAAGAAGAAGAACTGATTGGGTCAGATGATTAGTCAGAGGATTGAGTCCATGAATTAAGTCAGAGGATTAGTTCTGAGACTTAGGCTAGAAGATTTGTTAAGTGGATAGGATTATAATCATTGTGTGGGCTTGTGAAAGTTATAGCTGAGTGATTTATTAGGATGGTGTAGAGGAGCTAGGTTTATGTGTGGATAAATATATAGCTTTATTGAACGGTTGAGGTCAGTTGTACGGTGGCAGAGGTATGTTGTAGTTTGAGTAGGGGTGAGTTTGGTTATGTGGGGGAGTGTGTTTGCGTATGTGGGGGAGTGTGTTTGGTTGTGTAGTAGAGTGTGTATCTTATGTTGGGGGGGGGGGAGTGTGTTTGCTTATGTAGGGGAGTGTGTTTGGTTGTGTAGTAGAGTGTGTTTTTTTATGTGGCGGAGTGTGTTTGCTTATGTGGGGGAAATGTGTATGCTTATGTAGGGGAGTGTGTTTGGTTGTGTAGTAGAAGTGGATTTTTTATGTGGGGGATTGTGTTTGCTTATGTAGGGGAAGTGTGTTTGGTTGTGTGGTAGAGTGTGTTTTTTATGTGGGGGAGTGTGTTTGCTTATGTGGGGGAAGTGTGTTTGCTTATGTGGGTGAATGTATTTGTTTTTGCAATAGAGTGTGTTAGATACTTTAGAGGTATGTTTTTTGTTTGGAGGTTGAGTTGATTTTATGGAGTAGTGTATTGGTTTAGTACAGAGGTGTGTTTGTTATAAGGAGTGTGTTTGCCTATGCAGTAGATAGTTTTAGGTATTATAGATGTATGTGTTTGTTATGTGTTGGGGTGAGGTTGGTTATATGGAGGAGAACGTTTGCTTATAGGATATGTGTAAGATTTCTTCAAGACTATACGTAACCGAGCTACTCTTCAGTTGACTTGTTTAAAGGTGTTTTTAGAACTGACTCACTTATTGTTAAATATAAATGATGAACATTTCCATAGCATGGAAAACTGTTTTGCGCACCTTTTAGGTATTACACTGTTACGCATTAGCATTGGACGAGTCGGCCTTTAAAGGCAAATGTTTACATTATTTCGCTTAGTTGGGGTATTAAAGTATCAGGTTTTTTTATATTGCAAAGCTTACTAAGACTGGACAAAAAAACAAACACAGATTGTATTTGAAATAAATGTTGTCGGTACATCTATATTTAAAAGGTAATCTATTGTTTTAATTACGTAAAATATATTGCTGCTAAATCCATTTATGTGACAGGAAGGTGACTTACTAAATTTTAGTAATTATTTCGCACTTTTACGACGATTTATTTTTAATTTCTCGTATAAAGAGTATAAAGTAAAAACTGTAATGGTGCTGAATAATTATCAAATGTTTTGACAGTTTTTGCCGTTTAACACCTCGCTTCTTTTTTATATATGAAACATGAAGAATGCATGTAATCTTGATAAAAATCTATTCTGAGATTTTTTACAAATGTTTTACATCATTCAGTAACTGAAAAACATGATTTTGCAATTTGGTCTGTATGTCTGTGATGTCTTTAAACACCATTGTTTGAGTACCGTTTCAGTTGTGTTGACGAAATTTCATATATAAGTATTATATCAAATGTGTAGTTCTGTATCATTTTTTACTTACTAAAAAGCCAATAACTAGAGCGCCGTTTAGTTTAAGCTATTTTGAAGACATTTCATATTTGTATATTCAATTGCATGCGTATTATTCTATCAAATTTTCTACCATTTTACGGCAGCCTGATATGATACTTTATTCTATTTCTGCGTGAACAATTTAATTTGAGCACCGTTTTAATTAGGTTGAAGAAATATCATCTAGAGTCTATAAGTAAAAAATCGTGTACTTAGATTATTTTTAATTATTGAGTGAACTTCGATAACCGGAGGTGGTACTCTACACTAGTTCCGGTTTCTATATCACGATTGTTCGCTTAATAATGTATAAAAATATACGAGAAAGTTTAGCAGAGATCAGTCCCCCCTTTATTTTAAATGTTTAAAAATGTTTCTAATACCTTTGTTTAAACAATTGTACTTCGGCTTTTCAATAATAATTTACAAGATTAGCAATATTTTAATCAGATGCAACCAAGAGCATTAACTTAATAGCCATCTGTTTAGAGTTTATTTATTTGTCATAAATTATAGTTAGAATATTACAGATGGTATCTGTTTATATTTCAAATCTTTCTCTCAAATACTACTGTTTAAAGTTAATATCCGTCCTTTGCTGATATATTTAAACAATGCGTTTGGTTTGTTATTCAAATATCTTTTACATTTGATACAAATATATCACAACACACTTGTGTTTGAGCTCAATAAATAAGTCACCTTTCTATCAAATTATTCGCTTCGGCCGATTTTACGTAGGCCTACCTAAATAAAACGATAGATTAAACACAAACTGTGCAATCCCACTTGATAGCAATTTTAACAAGATATTTGCATATTAATTTACTTAATTAATTACAATTTAATATGAGAACACTCAAGTTGACAATGTTTTTAAAAGCAAAATAATTACATTAGACTAGGGGGTCGTGCATAAATGACGTCATACTCGAGGGGGAAAAAGGGTCCGCAATTTGGTGAGTGTGTGATGAGGGGGAGGGTGGAGGGGGAGGTTCAGGTGGTGTGACGTCACACTTTTTGCATTATAAAAAGCAATTTAAGAAAACGAATTTTAGCCGTTATTTTTCGAATTTTAGAAAACTGTTTTAATAAATTGTAATAGGAATGGATTAAAACACTCTATGTTGAAAAAGTTCAGTCAAGATTTTGAATATCGATGTTTTAAAAAAAAAGCAACTGTAATTTTGATGGGGGAGGGGGGTGGTGTGTGTTGTATGATGAGGTGTGACGTCATTTTAAGGGGTGGGGACTGAATTTTTGTGACGATGTGTGACGGTGGGGAGGGGTAGGTAAATAGCGTGACTTAATTTATGGATGACCCCATAACAAACAAAGTACATTTTTGACATAGAGAACAGAGTACAGACACATTGAAATGAATGTCAGATGGCAACTACCTATCTTGTTAATGGTTATCTGCGCCATCCTAGGTAAGAGAAATGTTAACCGTTGTCTTAACTAAATAATATATTTTTTTATATTAAAATTATTAAATTAATTCTATTGCAACCTATCTCTCTCTCTCTTCTCTCTCTCTCTCTCTCTCTCTCTCTCTCTCTCTCTCTCTCTCTCTATATATATATATATATATATATATATATATATATATATATATATATATATATATATATATATATACATATATGCCTATAGGCCTATATTACAATATATATCATGCGTTAAATTCGCTGTTTTCAGG